CTATAAAAATACTTATTAAAAAATACAGAAAAATCTTAACCATTGGATACTTCAAAGAACTATCTCAGAAGTGAGGTTAAACTGATAGCCACTTCTTAGAGTGTAGTAGTATGTTGTTGTTGTTTTGGGATTGTGTAGATGATGACTCAGTTTTCATATTCTAAAAAAAATCCTAAAAATCATTGAAGTAGCATGTTTAAATAAGATCCCATTAGAACGTTTTTTTAAAAATCACAAATTTTAGATAAAAAAAGAACAAGACATCTCTCTAGCTTTCCACCTGTGGTTTTGAGGTATCAGCTGTATTCCCCGAGACAGCTGTTAAATCCGAATACTCCAGGCAGGGCTCTCTAACTGCTGTGTCTCACACTGCTGTGTCACCAATGTGTGACAAGTGCGCCAGGATAGACTCTCTCTCATCCTGATGGCAGCAGTGGCAAGGCCGGGAGCTGCGTGACCATTCTTCCTCTGACTCCTGGGACTCAATCAAAGTTGTTACCCATTTTCTCTCTCTCTCTCTCTCTGTGTGTGTGTGTGTGTGTGTGTGTGTGTGTGTGTGTGTGTGTAATGTTCACAGAAACAATAGTTCAGTGGAGCTCAGAACCCAATTTCTTGACTGACAAGTTTACCATGGGAAGAAAAAATCCACTGTTAAGCTTTGAAAATATATGGTTAAATCTAGGAAGGATAATGGTTTCCAGTCAGACTCGATATTTTAAGTTTTCAGTTTTAAATTTTGTCTTGTTTTCTACAATGAAATGTTCAAGGAACATTCTGTTTTTAAACACATAAAATCCAAGAGAGCTTCTTAACGTTTCACAATCACTTTTCCAGAGTGGCCTTTGTTGTTAAAAATGTTAAAAACCCATCTTTTATTGTGAAGTTTCTGACTTACCCAGTTTTTTTTTTTTTTAACTGTATTTCCACCAAAGAAATCATGCCTTGACAAAATTTTGGTATTAAGACTCGCCTTCAGAGGACAAAGCTCTTTGGAGTCATTTGGTTGCTTTTTGTAAACAGGACTTGGTGATTCCTGTGTTGCTGGGCCTTTATTTCAGTGCAGATTTTCCTACAGCAAAGAGTTATTGTAAGTTGTTGTTCTTGATCATCTTCTAGTCTGACCGCAAGTCTTTTCTGCCTTAGGCTTTAGCTTTCTTGCCTCGAACTTTCTATGTTGTCTCATGTGATATTGCTGTGGGATGTCCAGAAGCCACAAGAACTTTGCCTTTCTTTAAAAGTATGTTTCTCCAAACTGAACCATTTAGCCTTTCCATCTCATCTGGAAGGATTTCTCCCTAGTAATGGATGTTGCTTTTCATTTAATCAGACAAGGGTGTAGGGTGAATATACGGTGACTCCAAAACTCGACACACACAAAAGGAAAAAGCGCAGTAGATCCTAAAAATCCTAAATATCTGAGGGAGTGGTTCTTGGCAAGTCATCCTCTTTGCAAGTGTATCCACTTGTGTTTTCGCTGTTGCCATTTCCTGCCTTACATCTGGGAAGAGAATAGATTCTGTTCCTATCAGTGAACATTCTCGAGCTTTCTGTTTTGTCTCCTTACCCCAGTCTTTCTGCCTGACTCCCCACTGCTTGACATCATCCTTTTCTGCCATGAGGATATGCAGAACTGAGGTAACGTTAGTTCAGAGTCAGTGAAACTCTTAGGAGGAAGCAGTCATGAATATGACCAATATGAGAAGTAAACTCCTTAGTCTTTCTTGTAATACTCTTTTATTCTCTGCCTTTGAAATGTTTCAGTTAAAAAGCAATCTGTCTCCTCCACCCTCTCCAAGAAAAGACATGATTAAAAATAAGATTTTGGGCCTGGTGTGGTAGCCTGGTGGCTAAAATCCTTACCTTGCACGCACCGAAATCCCTTATAGACACTGATTCTAATCCCAGCAACCCTGCTTCCCATCCAGCTTGTGATTATGGCCTGGGAAAGCAGTCAGTGATGTCCCAGGGACTTGGGGCCCTGCTCTCATGTGGGAAGCCCAGAAGTCTCTCCAGGCTCCTGGCTCCGGATCAGCACTTCTCCAGCTGTTACGGCCACTTGGGGAGTGAATTGATGCATGGAGGATCTTCCTCTCTGTCTCGCCTCCTGTCTATATAGACTTTCCAATAAAATAAAAAAAATAAATAAAAAACTAAGATCCAGACATAAATATGCAAATGTGTTGGACAGCTCTAACTGTAGGGCCATAAATGCTGTGTACGCCATCTCATCAGTGGTGACTTATTGCAATTTTCACTTACATTGGCAGAGACCAAAATAAATATTTGAAGACAGACTTCTGTACCAAGTCCAAGCTAATTTGCTCAGTCCATTCTGTAAATCTCTGTACATATCGCTTTGTTTCATTATTTCCCATGTTCAGCATCTATCAATTAGGCTGAAACTCTTGACTAATCTTTAAAAATTAGATTGATTGATTGATTGCAAAGGCAAAGTTTCATAGGGAGAAAGGGAGAGGCCAGTATCTAAGTGCCAGTCTCTCCACTGGAGTAGAGGATTAAACCCTACTCCACAGAAGTAATGATTTAAATGTTTTCTTATAATATGATACACAACACCACTCTGATTGCATAGGACTAAAGTCTTATCACACGCAGTAACTGTGTCGGCCTCCGGACGTAACTCCTTTGGGGAATCTCAAGTGAAAAGGTTTGCTTTGTACTCAGTCTGTAGTAGCCATTGCTGTTTTGGTTCCAGGAGACAGGAATTCGTGTTCAAACTGGCTGTGATAATAAGGGTGCTGACTCTGCAGGGTAGCTATCCTTTCTGTTCCCAAAGCAGTCCTACCTAGTCTGATGTCCCTCAGAAGCCGTTGGAGGAAAATATGTAAGGAGAAAGAGCAGGGTGAAGTTGGCGGTATTAAGAAGACTGGAGGCCTGGCTGCGTGGCCTAGTGGCTAAAGTCCTTGCCTTGAACACACCAGGATGCCATATGGGCACTGGTTCTAATCCCGGCAGCTCCACTTCCCATCCAGCTCCCTGGTTCTAGTCCCAGCAGCTCCACTTCCCATGCAGCTCCCTGCTTGTGGCCTGGGAAAGCAGTTGAGAACAGCCCGTGGCCTTGGGACCCTACACCCATGTGGGATACCACAGAGCATAGGATCGGCTGTTGTGCTCACTTGGGGAATGGATCTTTGGACGGAAGATCTTCCTCTCTGTATTTCTGACTTTCCAATAAATAAATCTTAAAAAAAAAAAAGAAAGTCTGGAGCAGTGATTTGAAAACTGCCAGTAGGACTCTCCGTATTGCACATTGCTCTTCTCCCTACCCCATTGTTCTCTAGGTAACTCACAGAACCCAAGGCACATTTAAAAACATGCTTTTTCAAAAACCTGTGATTATTCAGGTATCACCTAGGTAAGTTTTACAGGGACTTCAAAACTCTCCAAAGATTTGAATGTATATCTTTCTGCTCTGTATGGATTGCTACCAAATGATCTTCAGATTGGTTTGTTATGAGATTGATAGCAAAATGCAGAACGGCATGCATAGGGTATGCAGGACAGACAAAAACGTGTGCGTGTACACTCAGGTGTCTGGCTATCTGCGTACAAAATATGAGGAGATGCACTGAGCAAAGACTGCTGCCGGTGGTTCCATCTATGGAAGGCAGCTGGGGAACCGTTCAGAGTTAACTGATGGTGTGCCAGTTTCAGGAGTTACTCAATAACTTCAGGAAATGTCTTTGGATCAGGGCTTTAATCTTAAAAGGCTGTCCATCAACAAACAGCTTCCTGATTTTAACTTATCTGGAGATTCCAAAGACAATTCTGGATTTACTCTTTTATAAGCCTGTTTATCTAAAACAGTTCATGTTCGTTTTCAGGTAGTGTAAAACAAAAAGAAAGCTCTTTCAAATCTGTCTCTACCCCTGGCAAATGGTCCCGATAATCTTCGAAAATTTAGGATTAGAAGGACCTTTTAGCCAGCTATTTCAGGACTCCCAATATATTTTTTGAAGTTGATTTACTTATGAAAGGGAGAGAAAGAATATGTGTGACTCTTCTGTCTCCCAATTGATTCCCAGACACCTGCCAAAAAAAGGGCCAAAATCAGTAGCCTAGAACTGCATCCCTCCCACGTGGATGGGAGGGACCCAACTACCTGAGCCATCATGTGCTGCCTCCCAGGTGCACATCGGCAGGAGGCTAGATCAGAAGTTACTGTGTACCCTGCCACTTCAAGATGGGACGCAGTCATCCTAAGCTGTGACTTACCTGCTATGCCATAGTACCATGTCCCAAAATACTCTTGAGATGATCAGAGAAAGAAACTCAGGGTTGTCCTCCTCAACTTTTGAGATTGATTTGGAGAACTTTGTTTTCCTTACTCTTAAATGTATTTATTCAAAAGTCAGAGCTATACACACACACACACACACACACAGAGCACTGGTTTACACCCCAGATGGTGGTTGTATTGGCCAGGCTGAAAGCAGGAGCCAGGCACTCCATGTGTGTCTCCATTGTGGGTGGCAGCCACCCAGGTAACTAGGGCCATCCTCTACTGGTTTTCCAGGAACGGTAGCAGGGAGCTGGCTTGCTCTACCTATTCTGCCCTACGATGCTGACCCCTGCAGAGCTTTTTCTTTTCCCCCCTTTCCTTTCTTTTCTCCCAAGCAAATCCAGTGTGGTTGTAGGAAGCTTGACTGAGTCTTGAATCTCATGGATAGAGTCAGCTACCCTAAAATTAAACAGCTTTAAATTCTAGGATACTTTTTTTTTTAATTAGAAGATCCATGCAATTGTTGTTTTCTAAGACTTCCACAAAAGCTACAGTTTTTAAATTGAGCTGATTATGAACAACTTATTTGCAGCCATTCAGTATTGTTTACTATGTGTTACTTTTCAAAGACAATTTAAGAGTAGATTTGATTCAGCTAATTGAAGGATGTGTCTACTGAAGCTGACCTGTTTATTGAAATATTTTAGTACCTGCTGTGAAAATTATCTCTTGTTTTTGCTTTGTTGTCACCACACAGAAAGAAGAAGGAAAGCTTCAAGGACAGCTAAACAAGTCTGATTCTAACCAGTATATTAGGGAACTGAAAGATCAGATAGCAGAGCTCAATCATGAGGTAAGTGATAAATTTTGATCTTCACATATTTCTTCCTTCCTTCCTCTGCATCGTAACAACCCTTGATTACTGGTTGCAGGACTGGCTTTTTCATGCTAAACATTTTCTGTGAGTCCTTGGTTATAACTAATCATTTTAGAAGATTATCTCTTTTTAAAGGATTTTTTTCTGCTCATTAAAGATGTGCTTTCCTAAAACCGTAATCGTGAGCTGAAAAATTGGTGAATATTTTCATGACAGGTTTTCTTACTGTGTTTTGAAGCTGTTGGTAGTTTGCCTTGGTGTCTAAGTTACTTTCCAGTAAACTAAAATTCGCCTTTCACCTGTACAGTTGGTTTGTGGTGTTTGCTGTTGTGAAGAGCAGGGAAGTCTTATTACTCATGCATTCTTTCCCCTCATGGTGCTATCTCTGAGATTGCAAAAAAGGATACTTGCCTAATATCAGTTAACAGATTTCTTTGTATTTGAACACTTTTTAAAACTGGTTCTGTCTTGAGTCTGTATTATTCAGTTCATGAAATTTTTAGTTTTACTAGGAACTGTACTGATTAAAGTATTGAAACTAATGTGTTTTACTTAAAGAGATACTTTTTGCTAATGTAGCTCTGGGTCAGTAGTTGTGCCTATATATTTTTTTTTAATGATAAATATCTTACCAAAATGAGTAGGAAAGGATATTAATCTTTTTGAATTGTTTGTGAAGTAATGTTTCTTGCTTTAGGAGATTTCAAACAGTAACACAAACCTCTTTTATTATAAAAGAAGGAAAAAGAGAGAAGGAAACTTATTTTGGCCACTAAATAAATTTAGACCTCAAAGGAAAAAGTTTGGACATAACCCTTTCCTGGTATTACAGCCTCAGTTAAAGTCTCGATGGTTTTGGGCAATGCCTCCTGGAGGCAAAGAGTAGATTCTGGATGAAGAAGGACCAAAATGTAAACAAAAAGGGAACATGTAGTTCACTTTCTCTGAGATTTGAGGCATTATTCATGTAAATGCTAATTCTTTAGCTATGGGAAAATTTGAGGGATTCTGGATCTTACACATATTGTGTTTACCTATTTGTATACATTTTAAAATAATCTGTTTTTATCCATAAACATGTATGAAAACACAATATACAAATAGGCATTTTCCAGAAATTCTTATTCTTTTGACAACTCTAGAAATTATTCTTTGAAATCAAGAGGGCATTTTTAGATGAAATTGTGACTAACGTAAAATGTCCAAGTATGATGATAAGCAGCTTTGATATTGCTGAATTAAGGAAATGATATATAAAGTGACTATTTTTTAAATTAGTCTAAAACTAATCAACAAATGTCAATTTTGTCTGCCAGTGCTAGATTCCTCTGGTTTCTCTAGAGACAATGAATTTTGATAAGTGTGTGTATATAGGTATTTGAAGGCAGATTTTTTTAAAGATGATTAGCTCATGCGGTTATAACAGCTGGGAGGACCTGAAAGAGTCTCTACCTGCAGGGTAGGAACTTGGGTGCCAGAACAGGGTTCAATCTCAGTTTGTAGACATCAGAACCAGAGGAATCAAGGATATAACTCTCACTTCAAAACTAAAAAGCCTGGGGCACTGGACCGATTCCTAGAATCCCAGGCGGAACTCAGGAGAGCCCTGTGTGCCCCAGCTCTCAGAGGGAGGGACCAACAGGCTTTCTGTGTTCATTCTCCCCAGACTTCCATGGTGCTGTACACGTGGAGGCTTGGTCTTCTACCAAATCCACTCAGATTCACATGCTTAGCTGTTTAGGAAACACCCTCAGACACTCAGAATGATGCCGGGCCAGAGTTCTAGGTATTCCTGAACCCAGTCAGGTTGACACCTGGGTGCGGTGGGTTTTTTGTTTTTTGGTTTTATGAATGGCTGAACACGCCATAGGTGTGTGCGATAACACTAGTATTTACCATCTGTTGAGTACCAGTACCTAACATGGGCCAAACATTATGTCAGACACCACATCCATATGATGTCCACCCCATGAAAGGTGCTGTTGTTTCAGTTCCATGGATGTAAACTTGAGATTCACAATTATTAAGTATCTTGCCAAGCAAGATGCTGTTTGAATATTGCTACTTGTAAATAGGAGCAAACTGAACCAGAGGATAATCCAGCTTGCCCTGTTGTTCTCTGTGCTGCTTACCCAGGCATCATAAAACCATATCATCAGTATCTGCAGTCTTAAGAATGGTGATTAATAGTAGCTTTTTACTCTTCTCTTCTACCCTGCTGCCTAAATTTGCATACATGCAGTAAGTGTGTTTTGCCACTGACCTAACCACAAGAACTCCCTGCTGGTACTGCAAATAGAGACTGATGTGCAGCTCCTGCTGCATCTGGAATCCCTCCCAGTGGCTTCTTTGTCCCCTAGCACTCCTGCCCTAATTGCCTGACTAGTTTTGCTCCTGATTTTATCCACTTTCCCTGGAAAAACATTTTTTTTTCTTGGAACCTTGTAGAACATGATTAAATCCTCTTCCCATAACAGAATCCAGGTGTCCACTTTCTGCACTTTTCTTATGCCTCCTACCACACTCCTCCCCATCCTGCCCACCCATTATCAGAGCGCCTGACAGGCCCTGGGTTCAGAACTGAAGAAAAAGGATTTTGAAACAGACTGTGCCCTGTAGGGCTTCACAATCTACAGTGGAGTGGGACACACAAATTGTGCTGTGAAAATAATGTACTAGCTGCCCTTTATTTAATAATTGCTCCGAGTTAGACACTGTATTAAGTGTTATGCTTCCATTATCTAATCTTTACAGTAGTCCTCTAAATTAAGTGGCATTGTTATCATTCATGTTTTACATGTGGTAAAATGTTCCTAGGAATTCAGTACCTCCTTATGGTCATGCACTAGTCAGTGACACAGGTTGGATTTTTTTTTTTTAGCTCAGATCATAGGACTTCAAGTTCACCCACTGTGTGCTGTATAGCCTCTTTGAAATAAACATGAATCAGATTACAACAATTTGGGCTGAGTTCTTTAAAAAAAGAAAAGGAAAGAAAAAAGTAAGCAGTTTGTCAGGCACATTGAGACTCCAGAACATTTAAGGCAGAGACATGAAATAAAATCATTAGTTCTAGGAATTAATAAACCATCTGCAATGTGACTATCTTCCTACAGCTGTTGACCACTAAGAACAAATGATATTTTACAAATGTCAAAAAGAGAGAAGTGGGTAGAAAGGTAATCTGGTTTAGAAGCCCAAAGATGCACTGAGGACTCACTTGGGTGTAGAAGTATTTAGAAGTATAATCTGTGGCTGAACTAAATCACCAGTCAATTAGACTTCTCTGGGTCCATTAGAACTTTGTAAATTATACATTTACAGTATAATTTATGGGAAAGCACATACTAGCCTAGTGGTCTGAAAATGTTTTGGAGTGCACATGTGTTTTTCACTTCTTGATGGTGATATAATAGTTCTAGTGGATGTTACTGGAAAAACTTATTTCAGACTAAGAATAACACATACCAAAAGTTAAAATCTCTCCACTTTAAACAACTCTGTTGAATTTTATGATGTCTTAATAATTTTAATGTATTTTATGACCTTAAAATTTTACAAAAGTAATTCTAGTTTTATTTGCTTTTCTACATGGAGCACATTTCCCTGTTGAACATTTCATGCAGCAGCTGCTAAACCAGGTGTTGGACCTTAGATGATTGCTTTAACCCTCATGATTAGCCTATCAAATACTCACGTTTTGTAGCTATAGAAAGGCTGAATAACTTGTACAAAGTCACATAACTAGTATGTGGTGGAGGCTAGGACTCCAAAGCAGAACTTTTAGTCAGGTTGCAGAGTATTAACCTAGAATAAAATGAAACCAAACTGCTTGTTTCTAAAAATAAAGAGGAGCCTTTAAAGCATGTGTGTTAATACTCTTCCTTGGTCTAGATGAAATTAAGGAGATCTGCAAATGCCACAGTATAGAAAACAACAATTTTTTGAGAAAAAGGAAGAAACAATAGTTGTAGGCATATAATACAGAACTCTGAATAAAAGCAATACAAAAAAGCATAAAAGGAGAAACCTGGTCACTTGCATATTTTAGAGTATATGAAGAACAGATCAGTCTGCTAGAAGAGCCCCAGCTGTCCCTGATGCTGAGGCATTTAGCAGCTGTTTCTTCAGTGGTTCTTCATAAAGCAGACCTAATTGCATTCCTTATTACTATTCTTAATATTTTGTAACAGAAAAAATGCACCATCATCAAAACTGAACATTTTAAGAAACTCCTTTGCATAGAAAGCATAGCAGAAAGCATTACCCGGACCACAAGTTAACAGCTCAGTGGGTTGCCACAAAGTGCTCACACTCGGATTTACCACCCAGTTCCAGGAAGCACCCAGCGTTCTTTTCATACGCTGGCAATACTCAGGCTTTTCTCAAAGGTGGTCATGAGCCCTGCGTCTGATAAAATACTTTTTAGGTTTTGGCACTTTTTTTATGAATGGTTTCGTGCAGTATGTACTCTTTTTATGTCTTTCTGCTTTCTTTCAACATGATTTTGGGAATTTTGTTGTAAAATATTGTAAAATATAGCAATAAGCTGTTCACTCTGATTGCTATATAATTTCCATTTGCATAGATATACCACAGTTGATTCTGTTGGTGGACATTTGGATTATTTCTAGTTTGATCTTTTAGTAGCATTGCTACAGTGGTCATGCCACATCATGAGCATTGAAGATTGTTCTTACTATTCAACAGCTTCATCAACATGTACAATCAGTTACTCTAATGTCAGATATTTTCTGTCTGTGTCAAGGTTTTAATATGCATTTCTCTGATTACTACTGAGCCTTCAGAACGGTGCTGACATAGGGCAGTAACTCCATGAAGAAGTTTTGAACAGATAAGGTGGCATACAATCTGCAAAAGGAATGCAAAGAAATGTCATTATATGTAAAAGTCGTTAGAAAGAACATTCCAGACAGAAGAAACAACTAACAAAAAGACTACAGAATAAAATGAGG